TCCCAGACTGTCTTGCTCCTAGGTATAGCCAGGCACCTGCATTCTGGCCAATGGGCTGTGAGGGGATGATAGGGCCACTTCCAGGCCTAGACCAGGACACCTCCCAGTCATGATGGCTTCCTAGCATGGAAACAACCAGGATGCTTTTGCAAGCCATAGGTTTCAGATGGTGAAACCAAGAGACAGGAAGATGCTGGGAGACCAACTGCCTGAAAATCAAAAGTGTTCATTTTTAAATTTGTGCTAAAAACGAATACATTCTATTGTGTCAAGATCCTGAGATCTGGGGGTTGTTCCAGCAGTTCACCTACCCTAATACAAAGAAGCTATGCTCACTGGAGAATAAACATGAACTGGTTTTATTTTCTCAATAACTATGCCTATCACTTCTCACTTTCCCTTTGAGTAGCTGCTCACTTGGTGATTTTCCTAGGGCCCAGAGTGTGTGCTAGTCTTAGTTATTCTAACATGCTCATTAAGGATCTCTCCAATCCTTAATTCTGTTCCTTTACATCTGGTCAAACTCTTTTTGTGCCACTCCTAGAGCACCGTGGCCCTTGGGAATTGGGGTGTGCTGGTGTAGATGGGGGTTACTTCTCCTAGACTCTTCCCTGAACTGCACCCTAGGCACTGGGGTGGGAAGGAGGCAGATGGGAAATGCAGACATCTCTTTGCTTGCCAGGCAAGGTTGCAGTGCCCTCCCTGGTGGATGGTGTTGTGAACTGGGGTGAGGGCACCCTCCCAACCAGCTGTTCTGGGCACTGGGGGTCTGCTGTGAGTTCTGATCCCAAATCTCAGCTGAATTCCTGCAGGTGGCATCTTGCCTGTCTGTCTTGCACTATGAGAATTCTGGAAAGTTTGAGGGCTCATGTCACTTTCTTTCTTCCATCAGTGGCCAGGCCTGTGGTCCCACAGAATCTTCACCTTCTGCTCCTCTTGGGAACAGGGCAGGAGGTGTGCCTGGCCGCACTCTCTGCTTGGCAGAACCCCATTTGCCATCAGGACCCAGTTAGATTTTCCTTGCCTGGTAACCATAAAAAGCAAATCTGTGTGTAAGCAACTGTCCAAGAAAGACACAAATGCCAGTCACCCTTTCTCTCAGCCTCCCTTAAACTTTATAAGTGGTTCTCCTGCATGTTCCCACAGCTTCAGGGAACAGACCCTGGCCTCTGCCCAAGGCAATTGCTCCCACCTCTCAGTACACTTTATATACGACCATGGGGAGGAAGCAGTGGCGGGCCATAGCCACAACGCAACAGAAGTCCCACTGGCACCAAAGCCCCCTTATAACAGTGTTCTCTCTGTGCCTTGCTCAGTGGCTGGACGTGCAGGTTCTCAGATGCTTTTGGAACCAGAGGTGTGCCCTCTATTAAGTTCCAAGAACTCCAGCCCAGGTGGGAAAAATTCTAGAGTCTGTAAAAGTCCCCAGATGGCCAGGTGCCTGTGTTGGAGGGCAGTCTTCGTGTGTGGCTTTGGAAGCCAGAGGGTTTGGCCTCAGCTCCGCTCTTGCCTAGCTGTGCTGGCTGAAGGGCTCAGGGTAGGCAATCCGGCCTGCACCTCCTGGCCCAGAACTGGCAGATCTCTCCACTAGATGGCACTCACAGTATAATGTTTCCTCATTTTTAATTCTACTATGAAAAAAATTGTCACTTTTTATACCGTTGAAGAGCACAAATGGAACTATGACTTAAAATGTACATAGTTGATTCTACGCATGACCATCTTTGGAATTCTGTCACATTTCCAAGAGTTGTCAAGTTCTCCCCCCTCTTTGGGGGTACAGGCTGGAGAGTGAGGGGCCTGCTGTGGCATGGCTGACCTGTGCCCCAGGCCAGCACATACATCGCCTGCAAGTGTTGGTCCTCCTTCCTCATAACCTGCCCTGAGTTCCTGGCGTAGGCCCCGACCGCAGACATAGCTGCTGGGCTCCTTCCTGCACTGTTAGTTCACTGCTCTCACAGTCTGCCACCTGGTACCCTCAGAACTGTGGGAGAAGCCCGTTGTCCTCTCAGCTGCACTAGCTGCCCCTCTCCCCCCAAGCCTGACTTTCCTCTTGGCCTTTGTGCATTTCCCTGGGGGAGGCCGTGCTTGGTGCACACTGGCATGGCCCACTTGGTGATTATTTCCTGTTCCTGCCCCCAGGTAACTGCCTTCAACCTAGCGAGGATAAGTCCTTATGGTGCCTTGAACTCAAGAATAAAATGTCCCCAGACTCCTTAAGGGCAGAGACTGGACCCTGATCATCTCAGGGCAACTCAAGGCCGGCTCAAAGCTGCGGTCACACTAGTGGTTTGCTAAGTTGGGCGTGAATGGGTTTCTTGGCCTTCCTGTGATGGCGTGTTGCTGTGGTTTAAGGTAGGTCTTCTTCTTATTCATTCTTAGCCCCAACATGGCCTATAGCTGAAGGCTTAGTCAGAAACTGCTGTAACAGGAAGCCCACACTTCTGGGGTCAGGCTGACCTGGGAGGGTCCAGACTCCCCTACCTTCCAGCTGTTTGGCCTCAGGAGATTCACCTTACCCCTCTGGCCTGACACCTACATGGGCTATGAAGGGCAGGGAGCTTTGCCAGCTGCAGCCAGAACCAAGCATGAGCCTCAAGTGCAGCCTCCCAGGTCCCATCTGAACAGGCTGATAGGAAGCACCCCAAATCCGGAGTCCCTGGCAGAGGGGGAGCAGTGGGGATCACGCTCGGGCCCCGGGCAGCACTGGCATTGGGCCCTAGTCTGCAGATAGCTGCACCACGCTCCGCAAAGGCTGACTCAACTGCTCACTGCCCACCACCTGTCTCGTTCTCCCTGAGCTGCTCAGCAGCCACACAAAGGCCGGAGGACAGAGATGGGCAGCTCTGGGGAGCAGCTGTGGGGATCTGCAGGAACCTGCTGCAGAGGCAGGCTTGAGACAAAGGAGTTTAGGAATTTTCCTTTCCATAACCAAGTCCTTAGACATCCCCAGCCCAGGTGGGGAAAATTCTAGAATCTGTAGGGGGCCTCAGATGGCCAGGTGCCTGTGTTAGAGGGCAAGGTAAGTGTGTAGCTAAAAGCCAGAATGCCTGGGCTCAAGGCCCAACCCCGCCACTAGCTGTGTGTCTAGCTGGGAATTCTTTCTAATCCCCACTGTCTGCTTTTGTACAATAGGTATAACGATATTCCCTGTCTTAGAGGGATGTTGGGAGTACTGTGAGAGGCAGAATAATGATCCTCAAAGATGTCCATCTTCTAATTTCTGGAACCTTGTGGCTATGTTACCTTGTATGGCAAAGGGTCTTCTCATACCTCCCCCCATAACTCTGACACTGCTGGCAAGAGTCAAATAAATTCTTGTAAATAGCTCTGGCCCAGATAATGAACATGCACACAGGTGGTGTCCCTTATCTGGTCTATGAGTCACACACTCAGTGCCTTTCTGAATTGATGGCTGGAGTGTGTTGACCTCTACCTTCTAGTTCTAGCCTTGGCTCACCACCCCTTTCCCCAGGCCCGGGGCCGCACTCCTCCTCTAGATGGCAGGACCCTGCCTACCTCACTACTTGCATTTCTTCCCTATCCTAATAGCTGAGACCCTTTCTCCTGGTTTCACCGTCAACCTCTGTTTTCTACTCCATACCCCAGGATCCCTTCACTACCACCTTCTGATGTGCAGTTTTACTACAAAGATTCTTGCATTAGATGAAAAGGAATACCCAAGTGAAATCACGGGTACTTGAATTTTGCCCAGGGGCATGCGGCTGGAAAGGGTGTTCCTGCACTCAACTTCAGCCTGTGACCCTGGGAACTCCAGTATGAATGGGGCAAAGGTAGGCATGCCCCTGTCCCAGGCAGGATCCGCTCATACCTGATCCTAGAGAGGCCTGAGCCTGGGGTGCTCCCTCTGTGGACAGCCAACAGACAGATCAACTCAGAGTGGCTGGGGTGGCTTTACTGCTTTGTGACCAGTCATAGACTCACTGGCTCACAGGGCCCCAGTGAGGCCCTAGCACAGTCAGTTCACAGCCACCACCTCCCAGGGTGTCTAAATTCAGCTGACACTCGGCGCCCTGCCCAGACCCCTCGGCACTCACTGTTTCCATCACGCTGCCAGTGGCCTCCTTCCTCAAGCATCTGCAACTGTCCCTGAAGGCTGTCTCTGTCCGCAGAGTTTGGCCCATGTGAGGGTAGGCCAGAAATGCCAGTTACTCCCCAGAAAGCAGTTCGCAATGACCGGGGGTGGGAGTGGGTGGGTAGAGCCCCAGCCTCACTTCTTGGGTGAGACCCCTCTGAGGCCTGTTTTGCACTGTGTCCAGAAGCCCCTGCAGGAACTGAGCCTGGGTGCTGGCAGCAGCAATCCACTTACTAGCACACCCTGGCTGGCTTTCCTCCCTTCCCTGACTCCCTTCCTCATGCCAGATCCTGGTCTCGGACTCTGCTTTTTGGGGAGCCCAAGCTAAAGAAAAGGCTCCCTGGCAGCAGCGCCAGCCCTGCTATGCACACTGGCTTCTCTGGAAGGCACTTTTACTTAGTTCATTAACAACGACATTATAAAACTCGCGAGTTTAAAACATTGTTTTGTAACTGCTAATGCGACAGCAGAGCAGTTCTTTAGGCCAGGTTATTCCCCTCCCTCCTGCCACATCCCAATTCTCTGCCTTGGAATTTATAACCATCCTTGCTTAAATATTCTCGGGTTGTGCTACTGTTTTTCCCTGGCTTTATTTCCAGGTATTGTGTTTACACTTTCACCCTAAGATGTTCCCATTGACTAGTTTCTTTCCTTGCATTTACTGTGAATTTTAAAATCCTCATTTTCCAATTAGCCAAGAGCTCGTTATCCAGATAATTGATAGGACTTTCTAATTTCTTCCCCATGTGAGTATCCTGTCGATTTGGCCTACCTTTCCAAGTTGTGCCTGGAGACAGCGCTGCGGCTCCCGTGGGAGCAGCGTTGTGGAAGTCAGCCCTTCCAAGACCAGGGGCATGGGGACACCCCCACCAGGGCAGCAGAGCTGGAAGGTGCTCAGGCCTACCTGGGCTGATCTCAAAGAGGTGCTTCCCTGGGTCCTCAGGGCCAGGAAGAAGTTCGGTCACCTGGGTCCCTTGTAGAGAAATAAATCCCTAAAAAGGAGGCAAACACAAACACAAAGAGCATGAGATAATGGGGAGGGGACTGCTGTCGTCAGTGGCCCTGGAGAGCAGAGGGTTGGACCTGGGGCCCTCCAGGCACTGGCTGGGAAGGCTGGGCCTCAGGGAGGGGCACATGCCTCCTCTCCCAGGCAGAGATGAGGCCTACTCAGGGTCCCAGGTGGACTGGGGTGGACACTGTTGTCTGCACACCTGGTTGGAGGAGCTCTGCTCACAGGCAGGGGCAACTCCGGAGCAGGGAGGGAGGCTCCCACCTCCGAGAGTGCCTGATCCAGTGTGCTGCCTCTGGCCTTTCTGGGCCAGCAGGGTTTTAGGCTGGTAAGTGTCAGGGAGAAGCCTGGGTCCCTGGCTCCTGAGGCGACATGGGGGAAAGGACCAACAGATCTGTGTCCGTCCAGTCCTGCCACCTCTTGGCTAGGTGAGATTTCATTTCTTTACCTATGAGATAGAAGTCAGCTACCATGCACATGGTATCCCTCACGGAGAGTGCCAGGTGCCTGGGGTGCCTGTGGATGCATGACAGAGGGCTGCTTCACCTCTGTCTCTAATGCTGAAGTCTGGCAGCTGGGCTGAAAAACGCAGAAAAAAAGCATGGGATACAGGGATGGGGAGGCTGGCTTTGAGTCTCAGCCTTGCACTTCCAGGCTGTATGACCTCAGGTAAGCTGCTCAATGTCTCTGAACCTCAGTTTCCACATCTGCACAATGGGACACCAACTCACACGTCTCAGGAGGGTTGAGATGCCAGATTCCTGTGTGGTAAGTCCTACTTGTGAAGACGAGGTGTTGTGATACTGCTGTGATTGACACTTCCCCAACCCCCAGGTTAGGCAGAGCCTCCTTTATCCTTCTTCTGTATGTCAGTAACTGTGAGCTCTGCTAAGGCCTTTCTTTATGTCATTCATGCTTGGTTTTGCTCAACTCAGACTTGGTATGGCTTGACTACACATTTCTGGTCCTCTCAATGGAAAACCCATTTTAAACTCCACTCCTGCAACCGACCACCTGGGTTCAAATCCTGGCTCAGCTACAGGAACATTGCTCAACTGGTCTGTGCCCAGTTTTCTTAACTGTGAAACAGGAATGATAAAGTACTTTGTGGGGATGTTTGTAGCATCAAATGAATTAGCCCTTGGAAGATCTTAGAACAGTGCCTGGTACACAGTGGGAACTGTGTGTTTGCTAAATAATTGCCTGGTATTACTGTCTGTCAGGGCTCCACACCTAGTGGGGCACAGCATCCCTGTGCCTGCATTTGCCCAGGTAAGGGGCAAAGTCACCTGCTATACCCAGGTTGCCTTCTGCTCCCACCTCTATGTGTGCTCACAGAGCACCCCTCCCATATTTTCCAGGCAAATCCTGCCTTTCACAGGGTGATGGGAGCCTCCCACGTGCTGCTGGAATCTTGCACTGCAAGGACACGTGGAAATGCCTCTTCTCATTTAAGCAACATTAATGCAGAAAGGCAGAACATCGTCTTTACCCGCAGATGCTTGCTTTAGAGGAATTACAGCAATAAACCAGAGAGCCAGCTGGTAATCTTTGTAACTGAATTAACAGTTACTTTCTTGTTAGAGAACTTGGAGCTACTGGAAATAAATTAGGATTGCAGCCCCAGGATGGAGAAATGTGCTCATTAGAGGGCGTGGGTGAGATCCATCACTGGCTAATGGGATGCATCTCGGGCATTTGCTATTTCAGTAACCAAGTTTCTGTGTAATTCTGGGTACTCTGCTATTTTTTCTGTGTCCCAATATCTGTCATCCATACAAAGAGAGTAACAATATTGACATTGGCATTGCTTTCTACTACAGCTAAATGGAAAAGGAGTATAATAGCTTCTGTCTATGAAGATTGTACTATATTTCTGGCTCTTTACCTAAATTATTAGATTTAATGTAGAGGCCCTGGGAGTAGGTACTACTATTCCTGTCTTCCCAGACAAGTAGACAGAGGTCAGAGAGGTGAGATGCAACCAGCCCTGTGCCTACCACCCACAAGGGTGTGCTGGGGATGTTGGCCCACGTGTGTCCGCTGCTGAAAACCCAGGCTTTGCTCTTTGCTTCCTTACCTTTATCATGGTAGCCACCAGCTGACTTTGTTTGCAAGAAGCCATAGTGGAGAGCTAGGCCGCGACTGTGGGATCCACTGCTAACTTCTCAGGGAAATCCCAGTGTGGCCGCCACCACTGCAGAGGGTCCTATTACTGGCCCTTGGCTGCCCAGATTCCTCTGCCACCCACAGGTCAAGAATGTGGCTTTGATCCCAGGGGCTTCAGGACTGGGTGGGGGGGGGGCCTGGGTAGTAGAGGGAGTCTGCTCTCCAGTCCCTGGTACGACATTTGCTAAATCTATGATGAAAAGACGTGAATGGAGTCAGAATGTAGGAGTCAGCTGAGACGCTCAGGTTAGGGATCAACCTTAAGCATGGCTTGGAGTCACCTCAGGGCTTGCTAAAACATGGAGAGCCTGGTGTTTTGGTGGTGTTTAACAACGAGCTCTCTGAGAAAAATAAAGTACCTTGATTTGGAGTGTTTGCTAACCTCAGTGATATAAATCCCCTCCCCCTCCATGGCCTATTTTATGACATCATTGCATGTGGCGCTGAGAAGAGACGCACCATAGTGTTTGCACCACACAGATGCAATAGAGGTCAGTAACCACCAGCACTTAAGGCATGTGAAGTCATAGTGTGTGAAGTTAGGAAAGGATATATTTTGAGTACTTTTTAGCCTTTGTTTTTACTATAATGTATTTTTTGGTAGGTTTTTGTGATTTTATTTTATTTTTTGAGACAGGGTCTTGCTCTGTAGCTGAGGCTGGAGTGCAGTGGTGAGATCTTGGTTCACTGCAGCCTCAACTTCCTGGGCTTCAGTGATGCTCCCATCTCAACCTCTAATTGGGATCACAGGTGTGTGCCACCACGCCCAGCTAGTTTTGGCTATTTTTAAATTTTCAGTAGAAATCGGGTCTCCCTACGTTGCCCATGCTGATCTTGAACTCCTGGGCGAAAGCAATCTTCTTGCTTTGGCCTTCCAAAGTGTTGGGATTACAGGCATGAGTTACCCCACCCAGCCTGATTTAACTTCTAATAGTGGAAGGGTTGAATCAGAATAATGCTGGACCCCACCCCCGAGTTTCTGACTCTATAGGTCTGGGGAAAGTGGGACCATTTGTTATTTCTAACCATTTTTCTGATGCTGCGAGCCCTGGGGAATGCACTTTGAGAACCACTGGTCTAGGGGCACTAAGGGAAGGTGGCCAGAGGATGAGGCCTTTTCCATGAGCTCAGTCAGCACCTCTGTTTCCTCACCTGGAAAATGAGAACAATAATAGTATCTGCTTCGTGAGGCTGTCAGGAGGATTAAGTGATTTGATATCTGTCCCCAGTGGCCTTAGAGAGCCTGGTTTTTGCCAAGATTCTGTGCTTTGGGCACATGCAGGTGACAAGGGCCAGTACCTGCTTCTAACACCTCAAACAGTGCCCTCAACTATGAGGGTCCTGGGAATTCTTCTAGGAGCGCAAAGTGAGTATCAGCACTTTGCCAGCTGGCCTTCCTACTATAGTACCAGGTCAGGGCTTGACTGTTTGTATCTGGGAGGGAATCAGGCACACAGTTTGTACCTAGAACTGTGCAGTTTGCAGATGGGCACCTGGGTACAGACATAGTGTACAAACTCCAGGCACATGATAGATTTCCACAAATGTTGGGCCATTTCCCCCTTCCCCATTTGTCCGAGCTCATGTTCATTTGCTCTGTTAGGGAATCGCTCAGCCTATGTATCTAAGTTCCTCCTGAGAGGCAGCAGCTGACTTAATGCATCTCTTGCTCCACACGAATGCAGTCCATTGGTGTAAGTAGCTAATGGATAAAGAATGTGCCATTCTGTCTTCATCTAGGAAGGCTTAGTATTTGCAAGTTTTAGACATTGCATAATTGCCTTCAAAAAGTCTTTATCAAATTATGTTCCATTAAAAGTGTATGAGAATGCCCATTTCTGTATGCTGTTCCCATTGCATGGTCGTTAAGTACTGACTGTCCTTTTAAATAAAGACTCTTATGACATATTTATTGACCATTTGTATTTCTTCTATTAATTCCTTGTTAACACCCTTTACCCATTTTTCTATTGGGTTGTTTTTTATTTTAACCGTATATTTTATTTATTTATATTGGATAACCCAATATATCAAAAAATCAGCATTTCAACAAGTAATCAATATAAAATTATTAATGAAATAGTTTACATCTTTTATAGTAAATCTTTGGAATCCACTTATAGCATATCAGATTTACATACCAAAATTTTATCAAATATATGTGATCTGTATTTAGATCTTATGAAATTTGAAGTAGATTCACGTGCCCAAATTGGTTCAGATATACTGTAGCAGGTAGAATAATGGCTCCCCAAAAGATGTGCCTGTCCTAATCCCTGGAACATGCGAATATGTTATGTTACATGACAAGCATTTAACTAAAGTTTCAGATTGAATTGAAGTTGCTAACCATCTGAACTTAAATCTGGTAGTATTAGAATTCCAACTTGATTATTCTATTTCAAATTTATCTGGCTATTCTAGGCCCTTTAAACTTCTATATGAATTTTAGAATCAGCTGGTCAATTTCTATTAATAGAAAAATGCCTACTGGGATTGTGATTGGGATTGCATAGGTCGATTTGGGGAGAATTGATATCCTAACAATAATAAGTCTTCTTATCAATGAACACAGCATAACTCCTCATTTATTTACAGCTTTCATTTTCCCAACAGTAATTTGTAGTTTTTAGTGAACAAGGGATGATATGCATCCCTAAGTTTATCAGGAATCAATATTGAATTTTGTCAGATGCTTTTTCTGAATCTATTAGATGATTATTTTTTTCTCTTTCTTCATTTGTTAATATGATACATTAATTTTCAAACATTAAATCAACCTTGCATTTTTGAGATAAACCCCACTTGGTCATT